GTGGTGGTGGTGGGGGTGGCGGCGGCGGCAGCGGCGGCGGCGGCGGCGGCGGCGGTGGTGGTGGTTGTGGTGGGGGGTGGCGGCGGCGGTGGTGGTAGTGGTGGCAAGCAGGAATAGGATGGACACTCAAAGAGCATGGCTGCCTGCCTCCAGAAAACAAAAGGGTAGGGAACCCTTCCGTAATGCTGTAAGAATAGGCTTGGATGCCCAAAGCTGTAGATCAAGAATGCGCAAGTGCATGCTTGTCTTCAATGTCTCCTGCAATGCCTTGGCATCCAGTCCGGGCGTGGGCGGAGTGGGCATCTTCTGGGGGTTCGGCATGGCACTGGGCACTTGAGCTTGAAAATGCTCTGGCAATCCTGCAAATCAAGGACGTTGTTGGAGGCGAGGCTGAGACAAGAGGAAAGGGCAGTAGAATCTGATAATCCGCAAGCCAGCAGAGCTACACCTGCATATCCTCATGGGCATTGATACCTTCAGGCGATACGGCCCACAGGGCCAAAAAGGAAGGCCCCGGACAGTCCTGAAGAAAAGAGGTATCAGGAAGAGCCAGGGCATCCGTCAAACAGTCAAACTAAGCCTAACTTTTAGTGAATCTTAGTGGTATGATTGTGTGGCTGATAGGGCTGCTTTAGTTAGTGAAACCCTCTATCTTTTTATGAGCGTTGGCGCAATTAAGCCCAACACCTGGATTTGAAGAAAAGCTGCGGGAAATCTAAATCGAAGCTGCTATTTTCAAAACCACCAAACTTGCGGGCAGCCCGACCAACAAAAAATTGAAGCTACCGGGAAGTTAGGCTAAAACAACTGCAGGAAAGCTGCCATGCACTCTCTTCGGACAATAGGAAAGCTGCAGAAAAACTGCAGGAAAGTAGCTGCGAGATGCCAGGGTTAGACCTGGGAAAGCTGGCAAAAAAGCCGTCATACGTGTGCACCCAGCAGTCGTTGATGTCACCTTGCCCAAACTCCTCGCTTCTGCTAGCTTCTCAGCCCTGATCATCAGTGGGGCTGTGTAAAGCCACGGTTGCAGCTTGCAGATAGCATCCCCCAATGTCAATCAAACACCTTCAGCACCAATGTTCTTAGCGCAAGACAGGAGTAATGCCTTGCAGGAGCCTGTAGAAGGGGCCCTAATTTGGAAAGGTCCTCTTTGACGACACCGGGCAGAAGGGGTCCCATTTCTGCAAACAATCCTATCGACTGAGAGCAGCAGACGGCGCGCTGAACAGCATTGACGCAAGTGCGTAAAAATGGCCTGCCTTGAATACAGAACCCACATCTGTTGAAGCCAGCGCACAATGATTTAAGATGACCGGATTGGATGCGCGTGAAGACCTGGAAGATGACAGCACAGCTCCTCACTGCAGGACCTTAGCAGAGAACACACACAAGTTGAGTTTACCACTTCAATCTCTTCCCATGCTGACGAGACCTGTAAGGACCCAAGAAGGAGCAACACCGAGTCTTTGACATCAATCATAGGGAGGGCGCGTGTGATCGCAAACATCAACTGAGCATTGCAGCAGCCTTCTGGGCCTCCTGCAATATACTTGCTGAGGTTGGGGTTTCGCTAGCTTGAAAGTAGCTATCGCAGGCTATGGAACGGCAAGCCTGAGAAAACCGGCAAGAGACGCTGCGAAAATCCTTTTGATCTGCCCTGTTGATCCACATGTCAACACTGTTTGCTGTACAACAAGACCGCACGTCAAGTAGTGGTTGCCAACACTGTAACACTGGAAGCACAGCCCCCTGCTGGGGGCATGCACCTTCACAGGTCAGGCTGTTTCCGTGCCATGCGGCCTACATGTTATTCTGGGATATATTGGCTGCCGGCACGTGGCTGGAGCCAAGATGGGGCCTTAAGCTTCCAAGCAGAGCTGCCTACTTTGAAGCACCAACGTCACTTAAGTCACTTAAGCTAAGAAGCAGCAAAGACATATCTGGCCCCTGCCAGCGCTGGGATGTACTGATCGGGCATTGCTTGTGCAATTGCTGCCTTGGCCCGCCATCCCGTGCAGTGCCCGGGCAGTATTGCTTGGGGCTGCAACTTCAAGAGATCCTGGATAGTGTCGTCAACGCGCTCCTCAAGGCCTGCACCACCAAGATGGAAGCCTCCCATCACAGCCAGGAGGGGCACACCTGCCAAATCAATGGCATGACGACACACGTTCACAATTCCCGCATGCGAGCAAGCAGAAAAGACCACGATACCTCCGCCCTTAACCTTCACGGCCACATAGCGCTCCTCGTCGATGTCGCAATCATCCCTCCAATCATTGTCCTCTAAGCGCTTGGAGCCAACAAGACCCTTTTCGTATCTTGTTTTGCGTGGGATATGTCCGCTGACGAAGAAGCACTCCGACAGGACGTGGGACTCCCGAGAAAGCATCATGTCACCACCCAAGCGCTGAAGTTCTTCGAAGCTGGGAGTCTCAGGCTGCAGCGGAAGCACGGTGCCAGAGGGCAACTGCACTGCCCTGGATGCAGGTTTGCTTTCATGAAGGTCCAGGTGCACCGGGGCCTTGCCTGCTGCTTTGCGCGCCTCAGCAATGGCGGCCACAGCGCCCGGGAGGCCTCCAGAATGGTCCGCGTGATAGTGCGACAGCACAATGCTGTCCACAGAGGCCAAATCTATGCCCAACTTCTTGGCATTTGCCTTCCAGAGCTGAGGACATGGACCTGCGTCCAGGAGTAAGGCTCTCTTCTGCTCACCCACAACGGCAGTCAACAACAAAGATAATCCGTGCGCTGCGCAGCAAAAGCCTGGAAAGTAGAGAGTCGCGTCTCCACGCGCCACATGTTGAGCTACTTCCGATTGGTACGTCACAGAGCCATCCTTTGTACTTGCGGCCGTCGAGAGAAAGTCCGTGTCATTGTCAATGATGTTGATGACGCTAAGTGACTCCACTTCAACCAAGCGATCCATGGCTCGGGGACTCTCCCGCTAGAGATGCTGCAGATAGAGAGAGAAGACCCTTTTCATATCTCAGCCCAAACGCATCAGCCCCAATGCATACTCGTACATAAGCTGCGGCCTGAATGTGTCAACCCGATATAGAATTTTTTGAGGACCAACTTCCGGAGCCTTGGCATTCCCTCTGCAAAAGGCGGCAAGAAAACGGCCAACTGGGCGCCCTGCTCAACCGTCGCAAACATCAGTGGCACAGGCCGCACCTACAAGTTCTCTAGATGGTGATTGGGATGTCTTTCTGCTTTCACCATTTTCTGCCGACCGAGCGGCAGCACTTTGATCTTGCAAGTTGCAAATGCTCCGTATGCAGTAATCAGACCGCACCCAGCCATCTGGCAAGCCAAGGGTTCACCGGTTGGTAGCAACACTCTAAAAGACCAGGAAATCAAAGGTGTTAAGGCCTCTGTCTTCTGTCTTCTATGGTGCGGTTTGCTAGCGTATGCCTGCGCTACGGCAATTTCTCGTGCCGAGGCTGGCGCTTGCGCGTGGAGTCCTGCGTAGTCGACTGCCCCCGCTTGCCAACTGTTCATGTTCGAGCCGTTAGCTGCTGCTTGTGCAAAACTACAGCTCCAGCTGTGCAATAGCTGCCTCGAGCTGTCGGCCGGTGGAGCGAGCTTTGAAGTGAGCCATGGGTCCTTGGCATATGACCAACCAACGGCTCAAGACTTCACCCCGGCACGCATAAGGCATTACAGCTTTGGCATATCTTCACCCGGAGCTGAAAGCGTATACCCTCGCGATGGTCATTCAAACAGGGCTTCAGAGTTTCATGAGCTAATGCATGCACGCAAACACCATGGCATGCAAGCGCAGTTGCTTTTAACAGCGGACTGGTTCCTCACCCAGCCCACTGTTCCAGTTTCGCGGTGCGCTGCAAGCATGGACCCTTGCCTCCCTGAACCACGCACTCAGCGCTACAAGAGCAGCTGCCAAAGCTGGAAGCGCAAATGATCATTTTCAAGCCTTGTACAAAGATATGCACGCAGACCAAAAGATCCTAAGTAGAATACAACTTCTGGCCATGACCAAGCTGTACAGCACGTTTTTTTTCCAGAGGCCAAGAACTCCATGACACAGGTTTCCATCAAGAGGTGGCACTCAGATGACGGGCCAGGGTGCTTGGGAGGTCTTTAACGGTGTTGTTGGTGGGCCTGATGTCGAACACCTGGGCTTAGGGCTCATTACCCGGACTCGGCCGGACTTCAAGTGTAAAGTGCACATCAGATCCCAATCTACAATATCTACAACTCAGCGATGCGAATCCAATCGGATTACATTGTGTTGATTGATTGCGTCCATTCTCCTCCACATGCTTGCATTTCATATTCTTACGCCTAGTATTTTCTTCAGTGTCCCCAATTGAAGTTGCAAGCCCAATCTTTTAGAAGAGTCTGGCTTGCTGAGTGATTTCTAGGGCTGTTTCAGGCGGTCTGGGTCTGTCACAGCACAAGGGACTAGCTGTCCAAAGGTCAGAAATGGTAAAGGAAAAGAAAAACGCCAGATCTGTTCGTCGCACGTTCTCCCAACACCAGGCGCATCTTCAACCAAGCAAGGCCGTAAAATCAAAGTGTCAAACATCAGCATTCCCACTCCACGCCGGATGCTTTCTTCGACCCAAGTAATTAGCCCCGGAATGCTTGTTTTTAGCGTCCAAGAACGTGTGCCTTCACTGCAGCCCAAGCAATGCCGAAATCTCAAACGAGGCGCGGGGATGCGCATTTGTTCCTGCGCTAAAATCATGAAGCTGTCCTCAAGAACTCGTTTGCAGCACGCTAACTTTCAACCACCCAGCACAGCGAGTCTCAGTGTGGGGGGTGCTTTCATGCAAGCACGTCTGCCACAACATGCAAGGCAGAGGGCAGCTTCCTGTCACTAGATATTAGTTACAAATGAATGATCTTGAAAACCGGACCTGCAAAGCATGAGGCCCGACAAGTCATGGACGTTGCCCTCCTGCTCATGCAAGTCGGGCAAACGTTGCCCCGCAAGCTTCATACATTAACTCACTACACGCGGAGCTTGGCATGATTTTGCAATGCTGTGCAAACGAATCATATTTAGTCAAGTAATGTCTTTATGCTCTAGGGTCCACCCCTATGCCGACAAAGGCATGTAAAATGCCAAGCTCCGAAGAAAACTGCTGTCAGTTTATTTGGGACACCGAGCGCCACCGAATCAGGCATGTTTGCTGCTTCTGAGGTCGAGGGTGTGAAGACCAAACAGTTAGTGAAACGCTACCAGCCTCACTTGCCATGCAGATGAACAGCCATGCCTCACGTGGTTGAGGTGGCTTCAGGCTATCCACAGCAAGTGGATCAGACCGGATGATCCCATCTCAGAGTCAAGTTTGCTTGTCAAAGCGTGCAGAACCCTGGCTACGAAGCTTCCACAACCAGCAATGGCTGCAATACAGGAGGAACCTCAAACCTAGCTCAAACCCGAGGAACGCAGCAAGTTGTGGCGCAACTAAGATGGCAGCTTTGCCGCTTCATGGACTGCATGACATTGACCTAACCACAGAGGAAGCATGGGGGTGGTATGCACATGGCGCGAAACACATCGAGGGATTACAAGCCAATGTCTATAATGTCAACGCGGCCACGGCTCAGGTTCTTCTGTCAGCTCAGTTCTGACAGCTGCACAAACAGCCCCAAAGGGGAAGAGATGTAAGCGAGAGGGCCTGTGAGCATGTGAGAGCTGCAAGACTCTTGGACCAGACATCCTGCATGCAGGGTTCAGAAAGGAAGGGAGCCCTGGGCCCTCCCCTGCTCCCTTCTGAGGCGCCATCCTTGCGCAAGGCCGTGCTCCACCTGCACGTTGTTCACTTGTGACTTGGAGCATCAAGATAATCACAGCTCTCAGACGCTGTACCTTGCATAAGCCTTTGAAGTGTAGTGCGCGTGCAATGCGTGCAAAGCTTGCGAAAACAACAGCTTTGGGTGTCCCGGACCCTGACGTATTCCAACCACTTGAATGATGATATGCATCGGAATGTTCAATGCATGTTGGTCAGATAAATAAGCAATTACAATCACACTGGGCAAGGACATATGGCAAGGTTGAGAGAACCACCAGGTGGCTTATGACCAGCTCTGGACAGAGCTGCGACGCTCACTGCATCTCCGCGCGCTTTAGTTGAAGCTTGAGCCAGCCTTATTTTCCGACAAGACAAAAGAAGAATGGGGCGCCCATCCTTTTACTTGAAGATCGCTGCCAGGTAGATACTGTCTTTGAAGGTTCTATATCTTCAGATGTTGAATCTCCACCAGTGTGCAGGGCCTCATGTGTGCGAGGCTTCGTGCAAACCGTCGAGCATGCCGGCGTTTTGCTTCTGGTATTGGATTGTGCAAAGTTTTTGTATCCACAATAACGGGATAGCTTTGTAGCTAGCAAGGTCGCCAATGTCAGTCTGCTTTCGAAGGTAAGTTGACCTGGCCTAGTTGCCTCAAGATCTTAGGCTTCAGGATTTCACTTTTCAGCCTGGTCCAAGACAATCGATCTGTTACTGTTTAGCCGCTCGTTTGCGGCGCAACCCGCGACCTTCCTCCTCTTGAATCCACCTCACAAATCAATTTTGAAACGGCTTGTGAGCTTCGCAATAGCGGTCTTATTCATGATTGGTTTAACCTCACAGCTGCGATCCAGATTTCTTTGGGGCGGGGGACTATCAAAACAAGACTCGTTTTGGGAGGATCCAAACACGAGTCAGGCTATGCCATTCTGATGAGCTATCCTGTGTCAGGAGTACGTCTGCCATGTGCCACAGTTTAGACCACGGGCCCTGCCGCTTCTTCGGAGGAGCTCTTCGAGAGCTCTGAACCGGAACCCGCTCAACTCAGTTCACAGTGACCTGCCTGCTCCGTGAGGAGGATGCGAGGGAGGAAGCAAGCATCGCCTGCTCAAGCAAACACGGATAATCCCCAAACCTAGTTTCCATATCATGCTTCCATTTTCTTTTCCATTTGTTTCAATACCACCCCAATATAACCCCAATATATGACATCTGATTGAGGGTCAGCCAGCGGCCAGCCTCTGCAAACATGATGGTACATGTAGCATGCTGCTTCATGCAAAAGGGGGCAATTCGATTCCAGGTATGTATGCCACATCTGGGTGATGTGAGCCGTCTTCCTGACAAACAGTGCTTCTCAGGGCTACCAGCTATCGCGTTCCAAGCCGAATTGAAGGAGGCAGGATCGCGCAATGACTATCTGCTCGCCGTTCTCAACACTAGAAGTGGGCGAATCAGGCCTTCTCCGACATGTCCAGATCAGGGCAGTGCGACAAACTCCGGGTCAGCGTTCGCTGGTTCTGCCAAGCTGGTCGCTCTCAAAAAATGTAAAGAGCCGTGGTAGCAGGTACCAAGGAAAATCGCACTTACTCTCAATAGCACTTATTCTCACCAAGCAAGATGTTGACGCCAAGAGGATGATGAACACCACAGGGGGAGAAGAGAAGTTTCATGCAACAACCAAGCATGATGTTGCTCGTGCCACACTTGTGGGGTATTGTGGTGTATGGCACACTGTAGGAGTAGCGAGGTTTAATGCAGCCATCAGGTATCATATTGTTTATACCTGACCCTACCATGCAGGTGAGTGAGCACTACAGAAGGTGCTGACCAGGCATGATGTTATTCGTGTCTCGACCCTGGAAGGGATAGAGAGCGCAACAGGAGTAGGGGAGGTTGTGGGAGGTGATGCAACCTTCAGGTATTGTGTTGTTGGTACCATGCCGTAAAGGGGTACGGAACCTTACGAAGGGAGTCGAGAGGCTCAAGGCAATGACCTAGCATGATGGATTTGTGGCCATGCCGTCGTACATAGGGCACCCATCACGACAGCAGTAGGACAGGTTTGATGTGGCAACCAAGCATGAAGATTGTCGTACCATGGCAAAGCACATGTAATGATCACAGCAGGTGCAAGTAAGTCAAGTAACCCATGAGTGAACATATGAGATGTGAGAGGAAGCCCACTGCATTTGTTGAAAGACTCAATGTTGACTCGCTCCCCAGAAAATCTCATAGTCCTGCAAAAGAAATGCTGACCACCCCGCCCGCCATCCTGTGATACAATCAATACCTTGCAGCTTTCCACACCTGGTCTGCCCTACTACTGCTGCTGACGCACTTCTCCAATCTGTATCTTAAACTGTCTGGGCCTGTCCTTGCCGAATGTCGGCTTGTCACACCCTAGCTCAATTAAGTCCAGCCTGCATTCCCCGACTAAACCCCCCAACATTGTCCTCCTCCAGTTTTTGTTTGCGCTGAAGGTTTTGGGTTTTGAAAATTTATAGCTCTCTTCACCAAATGCGTGCGGTGGCCTCAGCACCGCCAAGCTGCATGCCATCAGGGAACTCTTCGTGCAAGGCCTGTAGATGCATCTTTCGTCTTGCCAAGCAGTGCATGTCCCCCGAGTCCCCGAGTCTCGAATGAAACGTACCAGTCAAGCTTCAGATTTAAAATGTCCACACATCATAGGGGTTGGATGCCTTGTAGCACAAAGAGGACCCCCGGCTGAGTTGGCGTGGGCGATCCCTCCATCCCAGAAATCACTCTTTTATCGCTTTCACTAGCACTATAGCCCTCGCACTGCTTGTCCTTGCGTGTGCGACGAAATTATGGGAATGTCTCTTTAACAACACCCATCTGCCTCTGTCTCAGGGCCATTAAGTTTTCTGCTTTTCTGTCAGCATGATTCAAGGTCCAATAACCAATCCTGAGCTCTGATAGGCAAGCTTGGACAGCTCCCTTGATCCTGGCTGCCTTGATCTTCTCGAAGATGCCGGACCTCGACAATTGCAGCACTTGTTGCCTACTTTGATTGCTAAACCTAGCTGAGGCATGTATAGCTCGATCTGGGGGAATCTACAAACACTGTCCCAGCAGAGACAGCGGTTCAAACAAGGCGTCAGTGTAGATCGCTCCAAAGACCCGTCCTGCAGCAGCCTGGCCATGACTTGACAAATCTGCGGTTTGCCTGCCAACCCCCACTGCTAAGGGCATCGCTGCTGGGGGTACCAAGCCTGGGAGAAAGACAACAGGGCGGTGTCCCAAAGTTCTATCAACATCCGCCTTCACACGTCGTGGAGGACCCAGCTACTAACTTCAGAGTGGCTACCCATGGATGACTCCCGTGCAGAACCAGGTTCTTCGATATCAACTTCGCTTCCGGTACTTCGCTGTTCCCTCACTGATACAGGGCCCCTAAACTGAGCGAGCTGGCTTCAAGCGCTGCTTTGCAAAGCGGGTTCCTCGGTGGCTCGGATTCACTCCACGGCTTCAAGCATAAAGTGTGTTGGGTGTCCTCTGCCATCAAAACTTGTACAGCCTTGCACCCTCCACCCAAAGAGATTGGTGTCAGCTACTCAATCTGCATGCTGTGCGCGATGGCAACGTGCAATCAGAGCAATGCTCTCAGGGATTGGCTCCATCTGACTTTCCATCAAATCATACCAGCCGCAGTCGCGGATGCACCTTTCACATCAATCCACAGCTGCCACATTTGCCGGCCTTTTAATAAGCTCATCAGTCAGCAACAAAAGTGACACAAGCGAATAGTCCTAGGCCCCGGCCAAATGGGATTGAGAGGCATGGCATAGCTATCCTCCTCGACCTGAGCAAGCTGGGACACACTTCGGACGCAATTAATGACCTGAAGCACTTTCTGCTGCATTGCAACATGCCCCCTCTCCAGTCAAGGCAATCTCATATAATGTTCGTGAGCTGGGCGACAACCTAAATCAACATGCGTGGAGTGCAATGATTGAATCTCTGGTTCGCTGACTCTAAGATTTGTCAGTCTCCAGCCAATGCCCGTCTGGAACACACAGACCTGCCGCCCTTCCCGCAACCGTTGCTTGCCCACGCTGTTTTGGTCGTATTTTTCATCCGCTCAGTGTTAGGGAAGGTACAATGAAATGTCGGACTTGCCAAGCGCAAGCACTTACAACCTTTGGACCACGGCTTTGCGGTAGTAAGCATGTTCTTTCAATAGGAAACTCGGTGTCTGTTGCTGACTTTCAGCCCGGAGTAGGTGCCACAGGCCAGAACGCCCCTTGTACCTGCAGAGTGCCTGGTGCAAATTCCTACATGCCAGCGAACGTGGCCGGAACGTCAACCCGTCGGAATCCGAGACGTTCTTCTCACGGACCAAAACAAACCACAAAAGCTGGGTTTGTCCTAGAAGCCCGGGTACCCACGTAACGGCCCACCACTCCGAAAAACCCAAGTTGTCCCCACCCAATGGAGAACCATGTCTGCAGGTGATCAAGATTCCAACTTCAAATGGATCACAAACGTGGCTTCCAACATCTATCAGTACTGAAGTTACGTGAATATGCACGGGCCGGTGAGCTTTGCTTAGTCTGCCTTGCCCCCTACCATTTGGTCATGCCAGCATGACTGGGATAGTTTAGTTGCTGATACTGGTACCGTCGTTCTGGTTCTTGGTGCTTGTTTCCAAGCTCCTGGCCCGCTCTTGAAGGAAGTCCCGAAGCTCGTCCTCCCAGGCTTTTGCTGATAGAATCTACTGAAGGCCTTCTACAAATTCATGTTCTGCTGAGGTCTACAGGGGGCCCAATATGATAGTTGCGGCTTCAATTTTTCTAGGCCTGCAAGTTGTCATGATCGAGTTCCCTAAGCCGCCACCGTGCACCCAAGTGGTACTCGGGGATGATGCAAGAGGGTTTCTGGAATCGACAGATCCAGTTATCTGCTCTCCAGCCAACATGCTAATGCCCTGTGTCTCTAAACAATTCATTGTCTCTCGGACAGTGGAAACATGCAAATCGTGGGTCGGCCTGAAGGATGATGGCCCACTGCAGAACTTCTTCAAACTTAAACATCAAGCCCTGAATCTAGCTCATTCATGAGGTCAAAGAAAAAGTAGCATCGGAGGCAAAGTCCACTGCGCCTCATCCATATAAGCCCAGGGCCTTGGTCGTGGGAATTTGGTTTTGTGGGCGCCCACCAGTGATGTGCAAAGCCCTGCGTCCATGAAGCCTGCGGCAAGAACAAGGCCCGAACTTGTCATCAAAGCCTTCCCACACCTGATGAAGTGGGGCGATGCATCCACCACGTAACGCTGTGCTACAGTTGCCATTTCTGCATGCTCTAGAGCTGTTGCTAGCATCAAGCGGGCCGAGCGATATGTGGCATCCTTACATTACTCGTCGGTCACTTGACTGCTGCGGAACCTGCATTGCAGGCAACGGTGAACTAAGACGATCAAACTCGCATCGCTAGCACCAAGGGGTTGCAGTCGACGACTCATATCCTGGTTGCCCAACGCTTGAGGCTCAGGCGACAAGAAAGTTTGTGTCCAACTCCTTCCAGCAGCATGGCATTGCAGCTTCTTTGGTCCCCTTATTGCTTGCTGATGGTTGGCCTTCAGCTAAGCAGACTGATCTTTGGATCTTGGATTCTGACCATAGAGCTGCCCTCCCCTACTCAACCTGGTTCGACCCAAATCTTGCTTTGATCGGGTTCCTGGCTACTACTAGTGTAGCAATGCCATGTGTTTCACCCCTGTTTGCAGCCCTGTGCTGCAGCTCCGGAACCGGACGCAAAGAGCAAGATTTGGTGCCGTGCAGTAAGCCCAGCAGGCACAATAAAACCCAACAACTTTCACCCCAAACTTGCCTCTTGATAGTCAGTGAAGAAGTCAGGACCAGGACATGTTGCAGGGATGATTGTAGAGTTGTATTCAAGCACATCCGCTTTTCACATCCTGCGGAAAGTAGAAGTTGAAGCATTCAGCGCCGTGGCGGATGGCTCCCGACTCTTTGGTGGTGTTGATCACAGCCTGCGTCCGGATTCTTCATTGGCAGCAGATTGAGTGCAAGCCTGAACTCAAGGCTTCCATAGGTGGGGATTCATGGAACCCATAGCTCTCTGTCTGTAATCCGTGCAGCCTTAACAGAATCCACGAAAGCTACTCGAATAGCTGCTAGCACTTTGATAAAGCTTGTGGAGGCATTCACAGGTTCCCGTAGCTGCACCACTGACTGCTGTGGACCAGTGGTTCTACGAGCAAAAACGAGAACAAACAGCAGCGAATTACATGTTAAACTTAAACGCAACGGCATGAAACCTAGCATCGTCCAGATTGCAATCTCGAAAATACTCCTACAACAGGCTGAACGATTCAAGGTGGAGGGATTCGGTGGGACTGCCGTCCTGCAATAGGACTAGGCAATGAAGAAGCGCTCTTCTGGGCAGCACTTTGAAATGCATTGGGACGGTGGCAATAGGATTCGCCTGCATCAGTCTGAGCCAAAAAAATCCAAGGTCCACCAGCGGACTTCTCCAACACTTCAGTACGTCAAGCTAGTCACGTGCCTCGATCAGGCGGTAGGAAGTTGCATCCTTGGTCCAGCCCGCCCACTTCACGAAGGAATGGGGCGTCTATGCGGTTCAGGAAGGAAATCGGACGTGCGGAATTGCTGGGCATGGTGCAGAAACTGCATGCAATGCAACATGACCTTCGACCGAACGAACCTCTTGCTAAAGCTTGGCTAGTTTTACGCTCACCAGACCTAAATCTTTGGGAGTCAATCTTACGGTGAAAACCCTCAGCTAATGTATGTGCAAGCACTGCAGTCTGCTAGCCTGCTCAAGCCATAATCACAAACCTGCACGCAGTCTCTGTTTTGGCAGCCATACCCGTCCGGCCCACCAAAGGTCAGGTCCCGCTTGCCTGTGGACAGCGTGGTACAGGGGCAGGCATGAGTGGGGGCTGCTTGACCGGTCATCCGATTGCCGGGTGCTAAAAGATGCCTGAAGCATTCCGACAAAAGCGTGCAAACTAAACGGACGCCCCTGCGCCTTGGCAAAGAGCCTGTCCCGCAGTAGCCTTTGCGCCGCCCATCCAGTGCCTGACGGCGACCGCCACTTCTCTATCAAGACATACAGGAATATGACACGGACCCAAGAACAAGAATTATAATGTTCTGTGTTGGATCGGATGGAATCCAGACCATGTCATGTATTGCTAAACGGACTGAAGTAAGCGGGTTGGAGTCTCAAACGCAGGCAGTCTCACCTGGACGAATCTTGACAAGACTAAGAGAGTCAAGGGCATTGCCCCAGCGAGGGCAATGGGGCCAATGTGTGTTCTTTGAATATTGGTGATGTCAAATTGGCTTCAACCCAGAACTAACATCTTTCCAATACTTCTTTTTGAGATTTCATGCAGGCCAGCATGCTCAGTGCGACCGGGACAAGCCCTGGATGTGGTCTCAACGAGAAGACCCACCCACCTTAGCAGCCTTAACGGGGTCCCGCTTTGTACGCAAGGTCTTTGACTGAATTTTTGGGGGTACCACACAGCTTTCCCGCCATCCTCTTCTGTGTGAAGGAGAACCTCTGAAAGCATGCTGCTGCAGATGCCCAGCTGCATGATCTCCGTGGTCTCGTCGGTGATGTGGGCCTCGCCGCCTGATGTGATGTCGGATATTGCAGATTGTTGGGACTTGCCCGGCTTCACAGCGGCGCATAAGGATTCAGGATTGGTGTTTCCAGCCTGAAAATGCAGAGCTTTGTCGAAGCAAACCCCCACATACCGCGCACGTATCTTTAGATACGTCTGTACGAACATGTGAATATGTGTATACATATGCAAGAACGCATGCATTTCGCAATGCTTACGTCCAGTCCCCGTATCACTCATCCTAACAACTACCAGCGGCCACCTCGCTCAGCTCCGCGGTTGTACTTCTTCCCACTCGCCATGATGACCTTCGGGTGAAACACTAACGCCTAATGAACCTGCCCAGCCCAACCGGGTGGACATCTGGGCGTGCAATCAAGGCTTGCAGCTGGGTAAGCTGAACATGTGACAGTTGCTCACGTGGGAAGCTCTAACCCCAAGTTCGCACACTGCTGCCAACACGGATTGCTTAGCACTCCTGCCTGGCCTTACCCTTAAGCCTTCTTGCAGGCTTTGCCTATCAACACAAGCCTTCCCAAATCACAAGCCTCTGTTCATCTCTGTTCCAAGATTTCCGGTTTGCAGGCCCCAACAGCGCAGCGCAAACCCACAGAGCTCGACAAGCAAGGGCCTTCGATGTGAAGTGCTCTGTGTCCCCATAGTACAAGTCATTGAGGCAAATCTGCTCGTTGCCTGGAGCACCAGCTTTGACAATCGAACAGCAAGTTTTGGGCCATTCTCGGCGCAGCGCTGCCTGAACCAGGGTGCCGGCGCAGGTTTTTTGAAGCTGCGCAGACTGGTGCCAAGCCAACTTTTCTTAAACGCACATGAACCAACTCGAAGCCCTGGAAACCGCAAGTCGCAGTCCCACGGTCAATCTCAACCGCAGCGCTGAGAGAAGTTTTGGCTTGACTCTTTCTAGACAACGCCTTTGGGCCGGAGTCCGCCCGAATAACCCGCAACAGATCCCTGCCTTCCAGTACTGCCAGGGCGGTGTGAACACATGCAGCCAAATTGCTAGTGCATCGGATGACCGGAGTGCCAATGCGGGCCTGCAAGGCAAGGATGGGCGTTTTAGATCTGAAGAGGAGCTGCACGGATGCGGATGGAAGATGCAATTAATTAGGGCATTTAAGCAGCTGTGGATTCTGCACTGGCAGAGAGACAGTTCTCCTATCCAACCACAGAAAGCGCATTTGCTTTGAAGGTTCACGGCAGGGAGTCAGCAGACCTTCTTCAGCAGCTTGTATCCCGCCACGTGGGCGTCGAAGGTGTCCTGGAACAAGTTCTGCCTCAGTAGCATTGCTTCTCATACCTAAGGTCCCCTCACAGATCGGCATTTTGGCAGCATCTGTAAAATTAGAATCTTCAGCTGCATTGCTTGTATTGCGATGAAGCACCAGGTTCCCAACCATAAAAAATCAGCTACCGCGCATTGACATCGTTCAGTCCAAGGTTCGTGAACGGCGTGTTCTTCGCCAGCATCAAGCCGCCGTTGATGCGAGCCTCGCCATTCTTGTCCAACCAGTCCTCACAGGGTCCTAGAAAAGCTGCCAAGAATCTAATGGCATCCCAAAATACAATCACGAGCAGCTTGAACTCAAGTTTGCTGATTGCATTCCCGAAGCTGCTCAACTTCTCATTCTGATCCCAAAATCCCAAAAGGAATCACCTGTAGATTCGGGAAAGCCCCGGGGGTACACACCAAAGGCTTGCCACAACGATGCTCTAGGAAGAATGTCGTTTTATATTGAGGCCTATGGATCTCCGCATGCTGCAGGTATATGGCAAGTTGTACCACACTTGTTGGGACTGCCACGGTTACATTTTTGAAGCCCCCAACAAAATCAACACGGAGCCTCGTTGGTCAGGAAAAGATCTTTGCCCTTCCGGTCCTCCAGGGATCCCACTCTACTCCCCAAGCTGAAGCTCACAACGCATTCTCAAGGAGCCCAGATCAACAAGGCTTGATGTCTCAAGCCTGCCATATGCCCTCTGCATCACATCAAAATGCCTTTATGGCTTGTACAGCGGTACGGCATGTGGGCAACGGGAGCTGGTGCCCGGATGCATTCTGCTAAAGACCTACTCATGAGTCAGCCCTATATGAGGCTATGCTGATCCCTTTCGAACCTGATCTTTCTGGAAACTACATGATACCTATAAAGCCTGTGAAGGACCCTAAAAGCCCCTACATATGCAATTCTGAAGCCATGAGGTACTAGCGGCGCTCCAGGATGGCGGCTATGCGCCGCAGCGTGTCCAGCTGAGGTTGGATCAGCGCAGCATCCGCATCCAACATGAGAACCTTCTTCAATCCCACCCGAAAGAATCGCACTATGACAGGAAGGACGCTCATGATTATATCAGGATTCCATTGCAGGACGTGCTTCTTGGACACGAGCAGCAACTGGGTAATCAAACCAAACAATAATGAATGCAACCATTGATGATGACAAAGCATCTCATGCAACTGCATCACATCGATGCGGACGATGGCAAACATGATGAATAGTGTCTTTGCTCCCCCTGTTGACATGCAACAGCGCAGAGTTGATGTCTCTCTTGTTCATCTTAGTGTAGCGGATTGAGAGAGGGCCCAATCAGAAACGTCCTTCGTCTGGCCCGGATGTTCGATAGGGCGGAGGGTTGCACGTAGGAAGCTTGTCCGAGGCCGTCAGATTTATGCTTGAAGGTCCCGTCCACACGGAATGCACGACATCTACTGGCATTTATCATGTTGCGGATTCTCCAGTGATGGGAACTGCCTCAACAACGACTTTCCTTTAATATCCTTTAATAATTGGACTTTTGTCTAAGACCGCTTACAACGTCCATTTTGTGAGCTGGCGTTGCCTCTACCTACCAACGCCTTTTTACATAATGCCACGTTTGCATTATCTGGCAAGCACGTCAACAAACCAAACACTGAGCACAAAGAATTTGAAACAGATCACCAGCTGGTGCTCGTCAGGAAAACTGGGACGCATCCAAGGCACATGTGTGAAAGCTTGTGGGCTAAGAAGGTAGTCCTGCATCATCAGGTGCTTCTCCCAATTGTAGCTCCTGGTAAAAGTGGAATGTCGCGGATGGCTTTCCTAATGCATGCTATCTCCATCTGCTTTGCAGTCGCATGACTTGCACCTTCTACTATCGGCTTTGTCAACTTCACAAGAAGAACTACCAAGAAGACCTACTACACCGCACAGACACTCTTGGCCCGGCTCAGCCCCTCGTGAAATGGAAATGCTGCTGAGGTTCTCCCTCTCGTTGATCTTCGCACAAACGCGCAAGGACTTTTTGCCGCAGTCGTTTATCATCCAGTCCTCACCCGTTTGTTCTCAGAGACGGTGCAGATTCCAATGATAAGCTTCATCGAAGCATGACAGTTCGCCACACAGTTTTTGGTGTTGAACATTGTTCAATCTAGTGACTCTAGTGGTCGCTTCCCTAATTCCTTTCTCCGACCAAGCATAGAGTGAAGGTGCTGCCAAGAGGCTGTCAGCTGCGGCTCAGTAGGGTATGCCTTGTCTGGCAGCAAGCCCAGCGCCAAGTGATGCTTCTGAACGGCAGGATGCACAATTCCACGCGAACACCAAGACACGACCTCCTTCACTGCATGCAGCCACTGATATGCAACCCCTTTTCTCAGGGACGCGGGGCCCGAAGCACCATAGCATGGCCGTGCTTCTCCGCGTGCGCGCGATTTGTCGCCTGACCAGGCTCCCAAAAGGCTCCGCCCTCTGCACCCCTGCTGTTCGAGCGAGTTCCGCTTATTATCAGAAAGCACAACTCGTCGCAACTTGGGGCGTCCAAACTTCCCACTTTGGTTGTTCCATACCCAGCAAGGTGACGATCTTCCTTCCCTGCGCCAGCAAAATCACAAGTCTGCTCAAGAACAGGTGAACATCCACAAGCCCACTTGTCACGACAAAATTGGACCACAAAGGTCACGGAACCAAGGATACCTCACTGAAAACATGCTACATGCAATTGCTTTACGCAAGATGGGAGAGCTTCACACTTCACCACTCCTCAGATTCAAGACCCCTAGAAGTCACTTCTGAGCGCCCAAGCCCAGTATCGGCTACATCCCACTCCGAAAATCCAGATGCGGCGCTTCTGTGTCCCTACTTCCTTTCTTCTTGTTGTATTTCCCTCCAAAACCATCCTTACAAACAGTAAAGCCAAATGAACGTTCTCAGAGCATTGGTCCTTCTTTGGGATTCTCAGCTGGGACTTTTGGTCTCAAGCAGCGAAGGCACCAGGATGGCCCTGAGCCAGTCGGGCCGATCTTCGAGCCGCTGCGCATCCTGCAATGATTTGCGATGCCCGTTCTTAAGGCACCCGAAACTACGATACTGTTGATAGGTGGCTATAGGAAAGGACTCAAGTTTGATACGTGTCCATGACCACGGCTGAGGTTTCTGGCTTCGATGCTTCGATGTTTTGCTCAAACTACCCGTGTGAGCCGGTATCCTGTTGAACTACTGGACTTGTTGTCATTGCTACACTATGCCATGTAATGTAGCCTTAGCAAGCTATTTTTGTGCTGGGATTGCAACGTTCCCATACTTTGTTGCGCAAAAGTCTTCTGCCATCATGAGCCATGACCTTCATTGTTGCCGATATGGGGCTCCACAGTGCGATTGCTCAGCAAGGCACTTGAGTTGCAAGGCGGACGGGGGCTGAATGATGGGTGCAACTACTCAGCAAGAGCTGAAAAAGTACAAAGACCTACTCGGTGCTAACACGTACAATCAACAACAGACAGGACAGCGTGGACCAAGCCACATGGCCACGCGGCCTTGCTCAGCCAACCCTAGGGTCAACAGATCTCTAAACCCTTTGCCTCAGAAGTTGTTGCTACAAGCAGTCCTTGCTGTTTCCCCATGTGCTGTGGGAGTCACTGAGGACGGCCTTCAAGACAGTGGTGTTTGACGATGGGTTTCCACCCAAGGCTGCTGTCCACGTCAAGATATTCGTTCAGAAAATACAAGGTTACAATAAGCTTGGTCGAAGGGGCGTGCATTCTGGCGGTGCTAGACCTAGTCGGTGCATCGTCGGTGCATCCATTTGCACACACACCGGTTCAGACTGAACACATCCTGTTCTAAAGCCATCTCTAAGTTCATGTTCCGTACAGGCCGAAGCAGGAAAAGTTTGACATCGCCGCCTGGAGGATAATGATTCCGCCATGAGGCTCGGGCCTGGCATCGATGACCTGCTCAAGCAAATAACATGTCCCACCGAATACGGGGTAAGGGGGGCGCTTTTATATTAGGGGGAAAGGATTACAAGAAACCACATTTGCATTGGTGTCGAAGGATGGCAAAGTGCGGCGAATATCATGCAAGCATTGAACCGCGCTCAACTTGACCAGAGTAGCACAACGATTCTTCATGCATTTGCCTTTTGACGCAATGCTTGCCACCTACTGCAAGCAACTGCAAGAAGGTACAACTGCAAGCCCCAGATTTCCCACATGCTGTCATCAAATCCCATCCAACATCTTGCTGGGCTGCCGCCCAACCATAGTTGAGCGCGAGTAAAGAAAAGCCCCGCCAAGCTGCCAGCGCATCTTTTCGCGCCAGCCATGATGGCCCTGGCCCCGACCTAATAGCTGCATCAGCACTTCAAGCCAAGCTCTGTGCAATTCAAAACAATTTGCTTCGTTGAAAATGCCCCCGAGCTCCAACAAGGCTCAGAACGCCCCAATTGATTATACAGCTTCCGTGCGCCCAGGCACGCGATGGGAAGTCCAGCAAAAGGATCCACCGGAGGTGCAGTTGGCGGCTGCTCAGGAAGACCCACTGGCCGCGGTATCTGTGCTTTGAAAACCTCGAAGCAACGAACTGGCAGGATCAACCAAAGTGAGGCATTCTGGCAGCTCTGGAGCTGCATTGGCAAGTTGTTGCTACGTCTTCGATTTCTTCGGCTGCATGGTTGCATGCCAAAGAAACATCGCGGTAAGGGCCCCAGCCATTCCTCTGAACAACATCAACCTTGCAAGATGCTGCTTGCAGTCCCAGAGGCATTCCATTGATCCGAGATAGGACCTTCCTCCTGCTAGCGCTCTGGAAATGGATTACAAGTTCTTTGTGACCCGCATTTCTTGTGGTTTCATTGCCAGGGGCTACGATCCCATCTTCAAGAGGAATCAGTTTAAGGCTGAGTGTCAAGCACACGCCATGATGCCTATGGAACTCTAAACTGCTGCGCAAGGCCGAACCGGCCAACAAACCGGTGGGACCCTGATGCCACTGCTAGCGCTGACAGTTGCGTCTGGAAGTCCCATCTCAAGCCTGTTCATCAGGTTACGACCCCAAGCACCTCGCCATGAACGGAGCAGCACCGACAAATCCAGTCCGGATGTGCATGGCTAAACCTGGGCTGGTCAAAATTGGGTCAAATTTGAGCAAGGTTCGTTCCTCACAGGTTTGCATCAACCAAAAAAACCGGCATGATGCTTGGGATTTGCCTTGGGTTTCCCGCTCTCACAACCACACGATACACTTCTGCAACCCAAAAAGTTAGGAAAGGTGCCACCGCGCAAACTGTCCCTCACCAGACTGAAAGCTCCCAGGTCTAAACCAAACCCTAACCTGCGTTCTCTTCCCGTGCGTTGAAGGCATGCCCCATCTGTGGAGCTCAACATTTATGACATGATTGAAACATTAGCCAGCGCTGAGTGCTACTCCTAACGGAACTTGCAGGGTGGCAAGAGGACATCCAGGAAACATGAAGAAGCGGCCGCACTCCAGTTTCGTGGCAACCTTGGCAAGGCGATCTGGAGCCGAACAATGCATAGCACCTCCTGAGGCTTGAAAACATAACAAAGGTCAGGAAGAAGTCACTGCAGAAGTAGCATGATGCCCTTCTCACATCCGACTTGCTCATTCTTGCCAGGATGCCGCCTCATCGCAAGCCTGCAGTGCCCGACGGCAAAGAATTGTTTCGGACACAAGGGTGCGGACTTAAGAAAAGCGCGATCTCAGCGACATGCACCGGACCCTCTTTCTAGATGGTTCCGAATCCGTATTGGAAATGGCTTCTGCCGGTAGGCTACATACCATGTTGGGTCTGAATGCTTGAGACAGGAAGTCCAAGCGCATCCCATTTCTTCAGTATTGCTATGATTGGTTCAAAGTACTCATGAGTTGTCGCAGAAGGGTTGTAGCCGGAGGGGCCCCCCCCCTGTACTGCTAGCGCAAGTTCAGATCTCATGTAATCATCCCAGTCCCGTCCAAGTTTTTGTATTGAGCCCTCAATGTAGCGAAGCATTGACATGCCTTTCTCGCTTTAGATTTCACAAGAGTACACCCCTCTCAACCGCCCTGGCCTGCACAGTGGGCAGATTACCTAACTCCAGCGCCTGATCCGCGCACTCCTGGGCTTGCAAGGGCTCGCAAGGCTGCATGTAATGGGCAACTGCTTCAACTTGGACGTGTCTGTTTGGGGCCAATAAGAGTCCTGGCAATCTTGCAGCACACTCAGCAAACTGCCTGAGAGCTCACCAAGTGACTCGGTGCTTTGCAAAGAGCTGCTCGACGTACTCGCCAGTTGCCTTGAAGCAGGTAGTCACTCTATGTCACTGTAATCATTCTCATCAGCAAGCTGGTAAACCCACGTTGTCTGCTTCCAGTAACTGGAATGCTCTTGTGTACAGGAACGGCCAAGGTGCAGGTGCCGGCTCCACTGCCGCATCCGCATCCGTGGGCGCGGTCGGCGGCGGTGACGGCGGTGGCTGCTGAGGAGCTGAAGGCACGGGCGGCGTCGACAGGGGCGCCTGCTAGGTCTGTTCAATCAAGCAAACACCTTCATGTTTAGTTGAACATTATTCAACAACAGGATAAGACGGCAACTGCTTGTGAGCCTCCGGCTGCGCCACTTTGGGCGAAGCAATTTGTGCAGGAGCTGCAGCCACAAACTGGCTCCTTAGGCATCTGCTGTGAATGAGAGTTTCAAATAGTTTCAGCGAAAGTCAGTTTGCAAAGATTGCTTGGCAGATTACAGCCTTCCATGCCCGAAAACGTCGAAAGCACGCGAGGATGGAGTGCAGTCGCTCAATTGGATGGCATTCGTGCGTGGGCACTGCACTACAAAATCCGATCCGACACGCTGAAAAGGGGTTCGAACCCCAAAATCTTTGCCCAATCATGGCCGTCAGGATAGTAACGCCGGCGGACAATCAAGCCAGCACTTCAGGCCTGAAAGTAGAACTAACATCTGCAGGGACAGGGTGCTGCTAACTAGTCATGTCACTAAATAACAAGTACTAGTGAGAGTGACTTCGCAATAGTAACCAGAAACATTTTAC